GTGGCAAGGGTTTCCCCAAAATTACTTGAATATCAAATTTAACTACATGTAATTTCCATTCATAGCTTTCTGAGGACTTAATTTTTAGAATATTAGATGCCAGGGAAATAGTTAATGGAAAAATGAATTAGCAAAACTTATCTACCTACAAGCTGAAATACTGTTCATATTTCATGCTTAAAGTCCAATTGAAATGATGACATGAAATCAATTTCACACTCATTCTTATATTATCAAGTACTTTACAGAGAATAACTTGAGACTAAAAAGACAATATTTAAAAATTATCATTCTTGCCCTGGCCTGGTGGCTAAGTTGGTTGGAGCATCATCCCACAAACCAAAGCATTGCAGGTTTGATTCCTGGTCAGGATACATACCTACCTAGGTTGCCAGTTTGATCCCAGTCGGGTGCTTATAGGAGGCAACCTGATTGATGTTTCTCTCTTACATCAATGGATGTTTCTCACATTGATAGTTCCCTCTCCCTCTCCCTTTTTTTCTTCTCTCTCTCATCAATAAACATATCCCCAGGTGACATTTTAAAAATATCATTCTTAATGTTCTTGGTGAAATCCTTCTATTGAAGTATCAAAGAATTAAAATAGCATAAGAAAGGGTATTTTAAGAAAGAATTCTGATAGTCTAATGATGCTTAAACTAGAATTGAAAAAAATAAGTGTCTTTTTCTTATATTTAGATGTTGCTCTTAGTGTCTATTAGTTTGAATTTGTGGCTTTGATTTTACCTGATACGTTGCAGAATATACTTTCTCCAGCAAATTTTACTCATGTCTCCATCTATCAAACAATGTTTCTTTCAAATACAAGGTAGACTGGTAACAAAAGTAGACAGGTGATAAAACACATTGTAGCCAATATCCAAACTATACTTTCATTCAACACTATGATTACAAAATGCATAGCAGAATGAAAGATTTTCCCACCTTGTTGTTAACTTGTTATTTTCCAAAATTGGCGTGTAACCACCAAGAGTGCATCAGAATCTCAAAGAATGGCTCAATATCTGAAACAATGTCATGAGCAATAAGCAGTATATTCTGATAAATCAGTTTTTATTTGATTGCTATTGAAATAGTTCCTTTGTACCTTAGTCCTTTATTTCAAATATCTTTAGGAAAGATTTAAAACTTTTATAGCTTGGTCAGTGAATACTTTGCAGTTATTATGCATACAATGGCTTTTTAAATCTCGCATTTAACTGAAATCTAAACAATTAAAACTGAATTAATACATGGCGACAAAGAAAAGGAATACTATAATGGCAAGTAATGTTTCTAACAATAGTCTTCTGGCATACTGTGACCCTACAATTTCTTCTGAACAACCAAATAATATATTTAATAAGCTCTATTAGTATTATTAGGTATTTAACTCTTTGATATTGGTCATTAATGTATAATACATACAAATATCATTTCAAAAATTTCCAGTAAACCAAGACAGCGTATTCTCCAAACATACTGTGTAAATGATGGTCTGGAGGTCATAGGGTTTATTATTTAACATGCCTGACAGCTCCTCTCGCACATGAATCAGCATGTAGTATAAATAGCTGGAGACAAGTTTCACTAACTAGCTGTATGGCTTTGTATAGGTTACTTAGCCTGTGTTTCTTGGGTTCATCCTCTGTAAAATGGGAATATTGAAGCCTATCTCTTTAGTTCAAATGGCTCTTTAGGGGCAAAAATGAATAATTCAAGTGAAAATGTGGTATAATAGTAAGGTATGTGGTTGTTATTACTATGACAAATTTGATCACTACCTTTATTAGCAGATATGCTGGAATTCAGAAGCCGATTGTACCAAGTTGTGAAGACTGAGTTGGAAATCAATTACGGTAAACGCTAGGTTTCAGGTTCTTGATTTAGCACCCTGTACTTAAAGCTAAGGCTTACCTCTGAAAACATTGTTGCTTGGGAATTTTTAAATAACGATTGCATTTCATTTTGATCATGAACAAATTTAGTTTAGCCATCTCTAGGAACTGGATATGAATCCAAATCGGTGAAAAAGTTGTCTATTTATCCACCCATAACTCGCAGTATATATTTTAAAGTATAAAATCCCCATGTAAAATGTTTCTTTTGTGAAAAAGAGGAAACAAGATCACTGGTTTTCAACAACACTGAGAAAATGGTCTAGCAGTTGTTTTAGAACAACAGTGGGACGCCTGATAGGCTTTATCTGCTCCATCTGAGGATTAGCCATGGCTTTTTAAACTTGGCAATATTTAGTGCTACAAATGAATATCTTTATTTTGCAAGACATGTTTCTACTAAAATATTGAAAAGGCCACTACGTTCTTACACTTCCATTTTCTACTTCTCAGGTCATTAGTTAAGATTTTAATAGTTTAGGAAAGTTAAGCTACTTAACTACAGGCTAAGAAGAGATACTCTTAAATTTTCGCTTTAGTTGTCTCTGAAAAAAACAAACAGTAAAGACCACTTCTTTCTAAAATACCCTTGAATATTACCTTATTTTTCACTAAAAAAAAACTTTTCTAGTCCTTATTTGAGAAAGGGTCGCTTTTTATGAATCTCTCAGAGATTTCCAAAGAGATGAGTATGTGCACATGCAATTTGGCCTTGAGTTTCTGGACATTCAGCAAAGCTCTCTCCTTACCCTCCACCCCTTCCCCATTCTCCAAAAAACCATACTGCACCTGCCAAGAGAATCTGGCGTGTCCCCTCAGAGGACGCAAGGGGTCGCCCCTCTCCCAGGATTGTTCCAGCAAACCCAGCCGCTGGGGCAGACTCGAGTGTGCGAAGGAGCAAGGAGCATCCCCAGCTACGGGAGCTCTCTCCCAGCCCACTCCCACAGAATAATTGGAATTTCAACCCAGTTCCACCTACTCCCTCTCTTATTCCCGCTACGCAACCAGAGAGCGCCTTTGACTTGGCCTTGAGACCATTAAGGCAGGTCGAAAAGCAGTTCTCCTTTTCACTCCGCGATTCCTCTTTGGTCCCAGCCTAGGGGTGCGCTATCTATCCCACAGCTGACCGTAGCCTTGGGGCAGCCTCATTTGACAGCTTCCCGCGTCGTTATCCTCGTTGAGGGAGGTAGGGATGAATGGGTGGCCAATTTTCTTTCCTGTGCCTTCTTTCTGACACAGGGGCCCCAAAACTTCAATCGGAGACACTTAAAACACCGACGCTCAGGTCCCTGTCCCGCCCCAGCAATTGTGTGGCTTCTAGTCCTTAAGGTCCTCAGTGGGGTGCGGGAGGGAATGGAATATGGGCGCCGGGTGGGCTACCGCCTGGAAGAGTGACGGCAAACAGGAGGTTGTACCTATGCCTGACATCCCTCTCCCCCCGGACCTGCGACTTAATTGCACGGCTGGACCCCAGGAGAGAAGAGGCGGAGGGGGGGGGGCCGCCAGGCGGGAGCGCAAGGCTTGAGTGAAAGGGTGGTTGGAGGATTTACGAAGACTATAAACCACTCAGAGGCCAAGAACACTAAATCGGATGCCCTGACATGTTTAGCTTAGGTCCTCCTGCCCCCTGCTACGCGATCCCAGAGGCAGTGATGCCGGCCCTGGGCTCCTGGCACTCTGGCCCAGCCACGTCTTTAAAAGGCAATTTTCAGGTGAATCAAACCTTGTCTGCCGGAGGCGAGCGGCACAAAGGCAGCTTTCAGGGGACCCTCACGTCCAGGGGTAGGGCAGAAACAAACTGGGGCGAAGAAGTGTTTACTAAATCTCCATCTCCACAAGCCTGTGCTGTGTCCTCCGCGCAGCACACGCGCCTGTCCCGAGTGGCTGGGAGGGTGTCTCGCTCGCAATCAAGCACCGCCACAGGTTTTTGCTCCCCGGCGCTGGAGACCCGAAGGGCAAAGGCGAAAGCACCGCGCTCTGCGCCTCTGAGAGCTCTGTGCAGGAGGTCTCTCTCCCTTTCTTTCCCCAGCAACCCCCCTGACACTAAAATGAGGGTCGCCCCCAGCTCTGCTTATTTGCAAAGGGACGGCCACGGTGGGCACAGACAGGAGGGCGGCCCTTGCGGCGGGCTAACCTGGAGCAGGGAGAGGTGACATTCTCACCTCTGTCCCCTCATCTCAGGAACACGCCACCTTTCACACAGACGAGCGTGGATTGCGGGTCTCTGGGGTGCCCATGTAATCCCAGCTAGGACACTGTCTTAAGAAGCTTTCACACGCCAACCTTCCAAGCAACAGAAGTAGGGGGAAGAGACAGGGAGAAGGCGAGCTTCAGTCTTTAGGGGGAACCCACCCTCGGTTTTTGTCTGCCCAAGGGGACCGACCCACTTGAAAGAATCTCAGAAGGTAAACGCGCTCACGCGTGGCAGGCAGGGGTGTAACTGGAAACTGAGCTCTCAGCGGCGGGTTCTGAGGTCCTCACAGTCCGCAGACTGGGACCGCTAGCGGCTCAGAAGCGCCCAGACACGCGCACCCTGAGTACCCCTCGAGCCTCCTGCTCCACTCGCGCGTGGAGAGGGGCAACGGCCGCGCAGGCTTTTGCTGGCTAATTCCCTGGCTGCCCTACGGGCTTTTAGCAGCCGATCGCCAAGGGAGGTCCTAGCCAGGATTTTCCACGCGAGTCTGCGACCCAAGGTGAGAGGACGCCACGGCGAGCGCACCTCCGCTGGAGTCTCCTCTGCGGTCAGGGGCATCCCTGGGATTCGAGGTCCGCGTCCGAGTCTCGAAAGAAAAGCACCAATTCCTATAGCTAGTCAAACCATAGACCAAACTTTTCTGCGAACCTGAAGTTATAAGGGGGCGGGAGACACAGGAGCGCCCGGTCCGCCCGACTCGCACCCGCGTGTTTGCGGAGTAACACAGGGATGTGGACAGGAAGGCGTGGGACACCGTCAATCCCGGAGCCTAAACTGTTACCTCCTTCGGAGGCGTAGGGTGCAGGGCGGGAGGACCGCTGAGCTGGGAGCCGACTCCGCACAGGCAAAGCGACCCGACAGGTGAACCGGGCGGAGGGGAGCAAACGCGTAAAAACCCCTGCACTTACTTCTTCGCTGGCGCCTTCCCCGGGAGGCGTTTTGGCTGCCGATGTATTCCATAAAGTTCAAAATGATAAAAAACCAAGAAATCAGTCGCAAGTGCATAGTAACCCAGTAATGTTTCCCTTCCTTTTCTCCTTGTTTCTTTTGATTGTTAATTATTTTGAATGTTTTAGAAATATATGTAGGTGTTAGGCGTGTAGAGAGAAAGCAAGACAACCCAAGCAGCGGGCAACTTCTCCACTCAGATCCGATGGGCGTGCTGGGATGGCAAACGAAGCGGGTCGGGTGGAGAGGGAAACCAACTATTGTACTTTCAAATGGTCCGAGCCCTGAACTGCGGCGGCTCCGCAAGGGTGGCTGTCAACGCCGGGAGCGAGGGTTCCGGGAGCAGCGCGCGGCCTCGCCGGGGCGGCCGCAGGTAGCATGGTGCGCGGCGGCGGCGGCCGCGGGCGGGATCCGTGCGGGCGGGCTGGTGGCGGCGGCCCCTGGGGCTCAGAGGTTTCGGCTGCTGCGGCGGCAGCGACGGAGGCCCCGGGAGCGCAGAGGAGCGGGCGCCGTCGGCACCGCGGCCATGGCCAAGGGGCGGTGGAGAGACCCCGAGCTGCTTCTGCCTTCCGAGAGCAGGAGCCGCTCCAGTAGGGCTGGACTGCCAGGAGAACCCCAGAGGGGAGGAGGGAGGGAGGGAGGGAGGGAGGGAAAGACGGGGCGAGGGAGGGGGAGGGGGTATGGCTGCGGGGGGCGGGGGGAGCTCGGGGGCGGAGAAGGAAACTGCTGGAGCAACAACCCTGAGCGACCTCAATAACTTTCAATTTCAAGAGGGAAAGAGGGAGCTGGAAAAGTACAGGCGTTGCGATTTGGCAGAGGGACGGGAAGAGGCGCCTAAGGGGTCCCGGGTCTGCTGCGGAGCATCTCTGGACGCTGCAGAGAAGGCGGGAGGACAGGAGCAGGGGGGAGCTGTGGAGGCACTGAGAGTACAGCAGAGCAGAGCTTTCCAAAGGACAGCTTTTGCGGGGAGAGGTGGACGCGCACAGCGGGCGCGAGACCCGGGCGCCCTACTCCGGAGTCTCGCTGGTCTCCACGGTCTCAAGCTGCGTGCACCCAGCTCTAGCCTGCCCAGAGCTCTGCATCTCTGCGTCTGCTCCCCCAGCGCCGGCGCGAGACGACTGGCCTCTAGGCAGCTTGCCCCTTGACTGCTTGGCAGATTGCTGGAGGGTTTCTTGCTGCTGACAACTTCCCAGATTCCCCCCCTCTTTTTTTAGCCTCTCTGTTGCTTTGCTCCCTTTCTTTCAATAAAAGTAGCTGCAGTTAGGTGCAGGGCGGGTGGTCCAGAGGAAGCTCAGGGTCCGCGAGCGGTCAGCCTGGCCGCGGGCTACCTGCCCGGAGGGGTAGGACCCAGAGGTGTGTGCGCTCAGGACCATCCCTTTGGAAATTCAATTATGCTACGGCTTTCTTCCAGACTGAGCCTGGCTGCGGCCCTGGAAGATTCCTCCTCCCCTCAGGCAGTTCCCTCCTAGTTACTTACCCTCCCTCGGCGCCCTCACCCTTCGTCTCCCAATCTTGAGATGTTGTGCAATTTGGTTTCTGATCTGGGGGACTTTGAATGACGTTGGGAAAGATTGTTCAGGTCTTGAGGGTGCAGGGGAGTGTCTACTACTTCCTTCTGTGCAGGTAGGGGCCCCATGGCAGGGAAAAAATAACATTCTCTGGTCCACCCAGGGGTGGGAAACCAAGGGCCAGCACTTCTAGCTGTTATTAGTCAATGGTAAGCTTCCCAGCTCATTTCTCCAGTAACACAAGTCCACGAGCTTCCAGTAGTTGCTGAAGAAGTGTTTAGTTAAAAGTCACAAGCCTCCAAAGTGATTATAATGCAGACTGCCCTGTGTATTGTAATGGGATATCTGCAGGACTACACTGTGTGGCCTCACAGTTTTACACAGCCGCGAACTAATGAGAGGTCACTTTGAAAAAGTCCCTGATTCATAGACACCTTGTTAATTATTATGCTTAAATAATTTAGGTTTAGAAAATAGCAAAAGCCCTAGGGGAAAGCAATAAGGTTAGCATTCCTCTCTCTTTCGTCCATTTGTAACCCTTATTACTGGATTGCCTTCAATTTATGTGTTGATAAATGACAGGAGAAAAAAGGTCATTGCCTGTGTCCACCCTGTTTTGCAAGTTTGCAGTGTTTCAGATTGTTGTGTGCCTCTGAAGTCTGTAATGGTGTAGCTGTTATACACCCCAGAAGTGAGGACTGGGGAGGTGAAGTGCCCTGGATGCAAAAGGAAAGAAACATAAAACATTAATTCTTCTCAAGGGGCTAAAAATGAGAATCGGAGAGGCTGGTCTTTCCATGCGAATTCCTTAATTGAGTATCATTTATTACTTTGCAAGCCTGTATTGGAATTTGGAAGGTGGGAAATAGTTTTCTTTAGGTTTTATATTACGGGGAAGACAACAACTGTAATAATCCCATCAAGGTTATGATTTTTGGCTTATTTTAAATAATTCCCATGTGAATATTTCTCTTTGTATGCATCACATATACACCCACAAGCACGAACACCCTCTCCTCCTTTATCTGATGCATAATGTCTCACTGCAAATGACTGAGTTTATCACTGTGAACCAGAAAAGTTACAGATAACAGGGCAATTCCAATAATGCTCATCCAGAAAAGAAGCTACTTGATTTTTCTGTGCTGATCACAGTCAGCTTCCCTTTCCTTCTCACTGAATACCTCAGATCCTGAATATCTGCACATAAAATGTGGGGGGTTTGAAGACTGTGGGAGGTTCCCTTTGAAAAGGACTCCAGAGAAGGCCATTCTCACCCGGGACACTTGAACGGGATGGGATGAGATTGCAAAAGGGATGTAAAAAAGCAATTTGGTGAACAATTTCAGGGAAATAAACATGAAGAAAGACATGTCCTTTTCTGTGTGTGCTGTGCAGACGTATGTTAGTTTGGATGAGAATGGGAACGACAGTGTAAATAAATAAACAAACAGAGGGAGAAGCTGTAGTTTTTGAGCCATCCCAGAAAAAAAGTACTAGTTGCAGTGGGCAGGAAAGGCTTGTCAAGGAATAAGCGCTGTTCTGAGGAAACATAAGGAAAACATTAAATAAACGGCGAGTGTATTCTTTCTCTCTTGATGCTATGCTTTAGAACTTTTTCCTGATCTATGTTACTGTGCTATTAAATGTGTGTTTACTTGCCTGGCTGAGCCTTACATTCCCTCAACTGTCCCAGCAGCTTATGGAAAGCGTGCCATGGTCTACTTTGTGCAGCATAGTACCCCACCCCCACCCCAACTTTTTTTTTTAAATCAAGAAAGCAACTTTCACAGAAGTCCGTGGCTGCCAATGATTTCCAGGGCCCAAGCTTAAAGCAAGTTAAAAACCATAGACTCAGCATAGAAGTCAACATTTGCTTGTTTCTTTTCTCCAGAAAACATTCAAGTCCCAGGGAGTTTGGATAACCTGGCATTTAAGAAAGTCAAGCCAGAAGAATAGAATAGTTTTGAACAAAGAGAGTGGATTAAACACATCCAGATTAGTTAGTGAAACTTCTCCTGTCTCCTTCACCACCCCTGCCCCCCTCCCGGCAGTGACAACAGTAACAAGTTATTTTTGTCCATTGCAGCAGTGGCACTTTAAGAAGAGAAAATGATTGTCATATTGTTGAATCCATACTGCAAATATGTGAAAGGGGGTGTGCTCCAGAAAGAGAGAGCAAGCCCCATAGTTTGGAATGGGATATAACTAGTAGTGATGAGAGATGTTTGGCAAAGTTTGGGCTGACATCAGTCATTATACCACAGAGCTGACATGCAGATCCTGAAAATGCTCCGCTCTCCAGTTACTCAGATCTGGAGGCACATGAGTAAGTCAAACAGGGTACTGCTGGCGGGGTCTGTGTAACTGAAGCAGCTAGAAGTCATCTCTGAAATATAGAGCAGACAGCAGCATTGGAAAGCCATTGAAATGAGTAGATGAAGAAAAACTGCTATTTTTAGAGGGAGAAATCAAGGAGACAGGATTACTATAGCACTTTGAAAAATGATTAAATGGTTATATAGCATTAAAATGGGAAAATTAATATCCATGATAGATTACTTTCTGGCAATAAGAAAGAATGTTCTTTCTCTGAGATGAAGTTATGGGATACTTATAAAACTGTGGTGAGCATTGTCTGGTGTGCCTATTTGTAATAACTTCCGTTTTCACAAATCAGTTCATTGCTGGGCAAATTTACAAAGTAAATATCCAATCGTACTTACTATAAAAAGTAATGCCTCAGAAAATTTTTGTTTGATTGTAGATCTTTAACATAAAAAAGTTGTGTGTTACATTAAGGAGGGCTCTAGGCTAGGAATCCAGGGATTGAGGTGAGTCCTTATTCTGTATTTGTCATTGTATTTCAGGTTTCTTCATCTGAAAAATGATGGAATTCAATTACACTATTTCCAAAGTCCCTTTCAACTCTGAGAATAGTGGCAATATATCCAAAAAAGAAAGACAGATTTGCGATTGTAAATATCAAAGCTATTTCTAGTTATGTGACATCACAGCTTTTGCTTACGGAATAGTGTTTAATTAAATAGGTTCAGGCTTAGAAGTCTTCTTAGAAACTCGTTGATTTTCTGGAAATGTCTAACTTATTAAAAGAATTCTTGATGACTAGGTCCAGGACTATTTTAATCTTTCTAGATGTCTTTAGACTTCGAGACAAGGAAGAACAAATGTTAATCTCGGATTTTAGGCAGAGGTCTAGAGAGAATAGAGAAAAAGCCTTTTGCACCCCCTGGAGGCCCTGCTTAATCTCCATTTGTTATCAGAAATCCTAAGTGAGGAAAAAATGTGGATTTTATTTAGTGAGAACTTTTCTTTTTATTCTGCTATTCCTTTCTTTTTCCCGTCTATATCTTTGGATGAAACTTTTTATCCTTCTCTCTGCTGCCCCAGGAAACTCTTCAGAAAATCAGCAGTGAAGCCTGAGTGGCTGTGGTCACAGCTTTAGGTTGAAGGGTTACTAACAAAGACATAAAAACACTGTAAGAGGTAGAGTGTGAAGCTAGATGAGGGACAGTTCTAATGAGTAATTCTTCTTTTTTTAAAGATTTTATTTA